ATAATATCAAGCACTATCTTGACAACAATAAGTTTAAGATTGTAGAAGATTTTTTTATTTTGAAGATCTTTTATATATTCTAGAAGGACCAATATGACTTTGTGTTCTTCAATCTCATTATGATTTTTCAACTGGAAGACAATTTGGATTTTACAAAATATTTAAGCTTATTTCTTAAGACTTTTGGTGGCTTCAAAAATAGAAGATCCTAAAAGATTTTGTCTTCTTGTATGACATTTGTTTAAGATCTAAGAATTATTTACATCATCTCTATGAACTTCTACTGCCACTACCAATGTTAAAGTAACCATGGTCTTTAAAATCAATAGATTTCATCATTGATTTGTTGCTATTAGCTATATTTGATAATATGTATGTTGTTGTGGATTGATTTACAAAGATGGCATATTTTTTCTCATGCAAAAAGGTTATTTTTGGAGAAGAAATGGCAAGGCTCTTTCTTGATAATATATATCAATATCATGGCCTATTTGATGACATCATTTTTGATTAAAGACCTCAATTTATATCAAAGTTTTAAAAATCTTTTTTTGAAATATTGAAGGTGGTTATCAAACTTTCTTTTATCTTCTACCTTCAAACAAATGGTCAAATAAAACAAGTCAATTAAGTTTTAGAGCAATATTTGGAATATAGTATCAATTATCAACAAGATGATTAGACCTCATATTTATCTTTAGTGGAGTTTGATTACAATAATACTCTTCATGCTTCAACTCAAAAAATATCATTTTATTCCAATTATAGTTACTATCCAAAGCTTGATTTTTTAGATACATCAAAAGATAAAAATCTAAAAATTGAAGATCTTACAAAACAATTGTCATAGCTCTAAAAAACTTTGAAGTTCTATTTATAAGCAACTCAAGTTTCTTAAAAAGTATCTCTAAAAAAAATTAGAAAGAAATTTCTTGCTTTTCAAGTTAAAAATCAAATATTGCTTCTTCAACAAAATATCAAGACCAATCAGTCTTGTAATAACTTAGACTACCAAAGATTGGGGCCATTTTGTATTCAAAATCAAATAAATTCAATGGCTTATTAGTTGAAACTATCTGCATCTATAAATATATATCTAATCTTTTATGTCACTTTTAGAGGCTTATTTAAAATCAATTATTCCAAAAAGAATAAAACCATTATTATCTTACATTAAAATAGATAATCATGTGAAATATGAAGTAAAAAAAATCCTTGATTTTTGACAAAGAAGAGGCAAGTTAGAATATTTTATTCATTGGTGTGGCTACAATATCAATAAGTGTATGTAAAAACTAGCAAAAAATCTAATTAATGTGCCACAAAAGATATATTAATTTTATTGACATTATCTTTAAAAATCTAAGCCTATTTTAGGATGACTTTTTTATAAAACTACTACTAAGATGTTATATATAACAAAGAAAACATATATGAAATCAATATTCTTTATAGAACTCAAAAATAGAAAAAAAAAATAATGTTTAAAACATATAAAAAGAATATTTTAGAAATATTCTTAGAATATTCTATTAAATTTTAAAATATTTTAAAATATTCTTAAAATATTTTTAAAATATTCTTAAAATATTTTTAAAATATTCTTAAAATATTTTTAAAATATTTTGATGTTGTGTGATAACACAAATATATAGTGAAAAATAAAAATATAGATGTTATTATAGAAGAGCCTAGTAAAAATGTACCATAGAAAATTAAAAAAAAATAATAAAAAGATAGTAAAAGATTTAGTCTTAATGTTATTTTTTTATAGAAGGGACCTCTATTTACTTTGTAGAAGTGTAAATGAGCCAAATCAAAATAAATAAGAAAAGAAATTAATATAGACATGTTTAAAAGAGAGTTAATAATAAATTAAAGTAAAGTTTATCAAAAATTATTAAAAATTGATATCTAGAGAGGACCAATTATCAACTTGGACCACAATCATATCTTGAGATATAAAATTCCATCAATACAATGATTTTGAGGTTTTTTTGAAAATCAAAAAGTGAAATTTGACAATAGACTTGAAGAAAGATTTTTAGGCATTGATTTTATGTCATTTGAATCAACATTGAAATTTTAAGGGATTTTCTAAATTAGTAATGTTCTCAATGGATTAGATTTTAAGAAATAAAAATATATTTTCAAATTTGAAGGTTTTTTGAGTTGTATAGTTGATGTACTAGTGAAATTTGGATAGTTTTTTGGTGTGATTGTTGTGAATGTGTGTGCAAAATTTGAAGTCAATCAAAGAATTAGATTGAAGTATATAAGGATTTTTGTGGATTGAGGTCTCAAAAATTGGAGTTTGAGGATTAATGAGTATTTATAGGATCTTTAGTAATTACCAATTGGATTGGAGTGAAATTATTTTTATAGATAATAGACTTGATTTTTAATGTTTTTGTGAAATTTGAGAGCAATTCAATAATTTAAGATCGAGATATTGGCACTTGAATTTTAGCATTAAAGGTGCAGTAGGAGGCCACTCAACATTCAATTAGATTATCTTGTATTTCTTTCAATTGGTAAGTGTGATCGATTTCAACTTTCTTGTGCTTGTTTTTAACTAAGTTATTAAAAAATATGTAAAAATTGAATTGATATCAATGATTTAATCATTAGTTATTGAAGTTTTAATCTACTATAGGGTTTGTTAAGAGTATGTTTAAGATTTAGAATTTGATTAGGATTTGCTTAGGATCTAGTTTAGGATTTGCTTAGGATTTAGTATTTCATTAGAATTTCAATTAGGATTATATCTAGAATTTAACTAAGGTTTAATTACGATTTTAATTAGAATTTCACTTAGGATTTTATTAAGCTTCATTAAGTTTTTGATTAGAATTAAATCAGAGTTTAATTAGAATTTATTTAATATTTCTATTTTTAGTATTTCTTTAGATTTCTTTATTATTTATTTAAAGTATTATATTTTTGATATTTTTAAAGATTGATTTTATTTTTTTAAAGTTTCATTTTATGTTTTTTTTTTTTTTTTTTTTTTTTTTGAGATTAGTTTACAACTTTGTGTTTCTTTTATAACTTCTTTTAAATTTATTTTGGATTAGTCAAAGTTTGATTATGATGATTAAGGTTTACTTAATGTTTATTTAAGATTCTATTAGACTTGATAGGATTGTTGTTGCATTTCTATTTATCTTCTATAACAAGGTGCATGGTGCATTCTCAAGCAAGAACATACATAATACGACACAGATATATTTTAGAAAGTTCTAGGAAGATTAAAGAAGTTGTTTCAGAAGCTTTCTATGGTTGCTTCATCTTTAAGCAATATGAAAACTTCTCAAGAAGCTTCCTAATACCTAATATATATTAGAATCAAGGCTGAGAGAATCCTTAGTCTTGACAATACATCTCTTGGAGTTTTAGCTCACTTCTCTTGGTGTTAATCTTATATTCATCTAGTTCAATGAAGTTTTTGTTAGCTTCTTGTTGAAACTCTTTCATTCAATTTCTTATTTGGTCTCATGTATATTGTATCCGTGACAATTTGTGCATAGAAATAGATGAGTTTAATTTTGAAAAGATTAGTGAATGTTGGCACTTCTATGTCAACTAATCAATCCATTCATAGGCATAGGTCTTTGGAAGTAAAGAGCAATGGATATACTTCTACCTCTATAATTAATTGTAGCTCCAATAGCTACCACAAAAGAAGTTATATAAGTAACGTCTCATAAATTAATGACTTTAAGGAAGCGAGAGATCACACAAATCACTCTTTAAGCTTCACTTGGAAACAAAAAAATCTTTGTTTATAGAATACTTTAGAGATTTAATAGTGTTCATAGATAATGGTTGTTGCTACAAGGGACCATTATATAAAACTTGTAAATCAAATGGAATAATGCAACATTCAATGGGATACTAGCATAAAAGATATACAATAAAATGTGATTAAATCTATTTGACTATGAAAAGATTGCATGGTTGTCAACACAAGCAAAGATCAAAAAGGCGCCTAACAAAAAATAAAATAAAATAAATCATAAATAAAATAAATAAATAAATACTAGAGAACTTCAAAAACCAGTAGTGCACCAATGAGGTTGTGGCAACTTGGATTTGGAGGTTCCCAAATAGAAACTAGTTAGTCCAAAAATATTTTAATGTGTCTTGACATAGTTTTGTGAGTGACTGGAGTTGGCCGGATCTGGCCAGTTAGACTGTATTCTTATTTTATCTGCAGTAAATATTCTCTTCACTTGTGTCAAAAAATAAAACTAAAAATAAATAAAACTAAAACTGTGCTCCTTGCTGCTGGAGATATGTAACAATGCTGTCAATGCTGCTTATGCATTCTTCCATTTTACCATTCCTCATCCCAAATTGCCACCACATTTTCATAGCTTAAAACACTCCCACTGAGCCCAATGCTGACAAAAGGTGAAAAAATTTCAAGTTGCAATTAAGCATGTTACTTCACAACGAATGCCGAACAAGCACAAAGGTGATGAGTAGCAGTAATGGATAGGTGGGCGAAGGAAATGAAAACAAGCAATGAAAATGAGGCAATCATCGTTCCCCACTTCTCCCTCCAATGATTTTGGCAACTCACTCGTCAAGGTATGGAAGATTTTCCAACCCTCCCTTCCCTCCTTATAACAGCCAAGTCGGAATGCCCACATGCCTTCTTCTCTATGGTAGCCATTTTCTCTAAGAATATAGTGCGAGTAGTCTTGTTCGACCTTCTGAGAAAAACTTTAGAATCAGCGATTGTGGATGCATCTATAGAATTTGTAAATGCTTCAAGTCATTCCAGTCTGGTTTTGTTTTTTATAGTTCGTCGTTTTTTTCTGTACCAATCAGGAATAGTAGCGTTTTTGACCTTTTTGGTTCATATGTTAATCCCAAATATGAGAATATTTTTGAGCTTTGTACCTTTTTGAGAGGAACAATAAGGTCGTCAAGAGATTTCAAACTTTTACTCCTTCTCTGCACAATTCGCCCCAGGTTGATAGTTCACAACAGGATCAGTAACATGGTCTCTGACCAAAAATGCATTTCTTTTCCACAAATGATAGGTTACAGGGTCAAAAAAATCGACATTAGGTTGTTGCTGCGTTTCAACGGAAATCTAGACTTGTTCAAAAAACTCAGAGAAAAAATGTCTAAGCATCTGAGGATTTTACCTACCATAACTGCTAGCTCCTGAAAACTAAGAATTGTATACCACTCTCCTTTTCAGGAATTGCTGTCTGTGGCCTTCATTTTATGTTCCTGAATTAATCCTAGAACTTCAGTCACGAAAGCTACTTATCCGCTGTTCTCACAGTTCATATGTACAATACAAAGTCGACGCTTCAACTGGCATTTACCAATTGAGAAATCCAGGAGTATGTCCGAAGTCCAAAAGAGCTGCAAGATCAAGATCCGACACTGGCGGAGATCCACGCAGCTGCAATTTGGCAGGGGACGCGGGCACTTCACAGCACGGGCATATATTAAAGCCGTAGCGGAAGCTTTCTACTTTTGCTCACTTGTAGGAATAGGGTCTGCTTTCCACACGATGTCTTTGAGACCCTTGGAAAGATTCTTATAAAACTGCAAGTACAGGATATGAAGGAAGTTAGCCATAGAGTTAAGTGAGAAATGCTGAGCCGTACTATATTGATACTGAACGACTGTGAAGAATGTAGATGTTCTTTGCCAAAAGATTCTACTTCTGCAACCAGCAGATACGTTTAAATTGGAACTTAGGGTCGAAGTACAAAAGTGGAAATTCTACTCCAGATGGAATCTTACGTTATTGTACTCCAACGTATCGCCGCTGTTCTTCTGTAACTCAACCATGTAAAGAGAAGGTGCCACCTCAAACACCTCAGTTGAAACTGACAGAGGTCCCTTCCTCCCCAGCTGACCTTGTAGTTTCAGCTTGAAATCACGTTTCAAAACGTTGAACCCTAAGGGCTTTGCAGCTTCCTCAATTGAAGAGATGATCTCCTTCGCAGACTTCTTACTCGTAAACCTAGTGTCCTCCTTTTCAGGAATCTGTGGGAGAAAGACATCAGATACTCGTAGCTGTTGTTTGCGGCCTTAAATAAGATCAACAGAGAGCCCTGTGCACAGGTACTCATCAAAGATAATGGTCACTAAGAAAGAAAAATGTGGCAATCGAAGTAAAACTACTACCTATTTTTCCCTAATGTATAAATATTTACAAGGTCCACCGCACTGCACCATAGATGCGATATAAGACGTTACCTCTTTCGTCTCGAAGAGGCTGGAGAGGTTGAGCCCTGATGACATGGAGATAAGCTCGAAAGCATTCATTGACACCGGCTTTGTTTCCTTCCTTTCGACAACCATATGTTCCTGCAATTCAAAATAAACACAGAAAAGGTTAGAAAATAACACCAGAAAATGCTAGTACCAACACCAACTGCTTCTTGTCATCTAAAACTTGTATTCTAAGACTGATAATTTAAACTCGAAGGAAATCATTGGGTCAATACTCATTATTTTCTGAATCCTTAAACTAGTAACTAAATTCTACCAAATGAAGATCAAACCAATTACCTGTGAGCAACTAAAGATAGCATTCACATCGTCAAGGTTGACATCAACTTCTCTGTCAAACTGGGCTGGAGTATATCCTTTCTTAAACCAATCATTTTTATAAATTTGAGATGCAGAAATGCGCTGCAATCACATTCCAAAGCAAGAACATTCTTCAGTAATAATGCAGGAACCGGAGCTAAGGACGAGAAGAAAATCATGCCGACCCGACTAAAATCTCGTGATTGCCGCAGTCATCCAGCAGCTAGCTACGTAAGTAGCAATCATTGCCTTGCATTTTATTGCATGCGAAATTCTTTTGAAAAATTTCCATTATTCATCTGCAGACTACATTCTTATATCGGTAGTTTATGCAATCAGCTCAGCTGTTTCCCACTAATTTCGAATTCAGCTCGTCCAAGTGAACTGACCAACCCCACAAATTGACAGATTCCGAATGCCTCAGTAAAAGAATAAAAGATATATATATATATATATATATATATATATCCATACGAAGAATGTTAGCATGAAACTTACAGTTCTTGGATTGGGATCCAGTATCTTTGAGATTAATTTCCGGGCTCCTGACGAGAACCAAGGAGGCCAAGAGAACTGTGCTCGGTAAATCTGCAGACATATGTGGGTATTAAAACGGCATGAAATGACAATTTCATAAATAATACACTCCAGAGAAAATCGGAACTCCAAAGCAGATTTCTGCCCTATCATTTAGCCGCAAAGATTAGAAGTGAAAATGCACCTTCTTGTAAAGTGCCATGATTGTGGGCTCCTCAAATGGCAAGTATCCAGCCATCAGTACATATAAAATAACACCGCATGACCACAAATCGGCAGTAGCCCCAGAGTAGCCCTTGTCCATGATAACCTCAGGGGCCACGTAGTTGGGAGTTCCGCAAGTTGTATGTAATAAACCATCTTCCCTAAATTGCTGAGGTAGCGCACTCAAGCCAAAGTCGGAAATTTTTAAGTTGCCTTTGGAATCCAGAAGAAGATTCTCTGGCTGTGATCATCCAAATGAAGACATTTAGGACAAAACATGAAGAACGGAATCACCATAAATTTTAAAAACAAAGATTTTCCTTTAAACGAACGGCTTGCAAAAGTTATTTAAGAAAAAAGAAGAAGGCAGAAGCTACAATCGCTGTGAAAATAGTTTCTTGACATTCATACTTTCAGATCTCTGTGATACACTTGCCGACTGTGGCAATAATCAACTGCATCAATCAGCTGCTGAAAATACTTCCTTGCTTCATCCTCTGACAGTCTTCCTTGTTGAGCCTGAGGGCATTCCCGAAACACTAATCATTAGTCACAAGCATAAACCAGTTACAGCTGCTCCTTCTCAAGAATCATATGACTCAAAGAATTCATTAACTAGACTAATAAATGAATTAACCAAAACTGCCCGTAGCTAGTTACTCAAATTCAACACTAGGCCCTGTGAAGAGTATTGGAGAAATCATTCAAAAAAACAGATTAAGTCAGAAACTTACAATCTTATTAAAAAGCTCGCCACCTGTGACATACTCAAGCACAATGTAGATCTTCGTCCTGCTGGCCATTACCTGTATGGGAAGCACATTAATAAGACTCTGATCCAGCGCATAGCCATTCGAGAAAGTGAAAGGAGGTAGACAGAGAATGCTTTCAATCCAGTCGAAAAACACGGCAGATCGTAAAGATATCTACCTCCAACAGCTGGACGACATAGGGATGTTTCACCAGCTTCATGGTAGATATTTCTCTTTTGATCTGTTCCACCATCTTGTGCCTGAGAATCTTCTCCTTGTCCAAAATCTTGATGGCAACAGTGTGACCAGTGTCAATATGTTTGGCCACCTTGACTTTGGCAAATGTACCCTCTCCCAAGGTCTTGCCGAGGTCATACTTTCCGACCCGCGTACGTTCGACGTTAGTAGTCGGCATGTTTGATTTAGTTGTCATATTCACCTGCTTGAACGTAACCTACCTAACTTTCACTTTTCGTAATATGGCGCTGGCCTCGTGGGTTCTTTCTAATTCAGTTAGAACATGAAAAAAGTCTGCACGACAGACAAGAATGACTATGTGAGTTTCCCTGCACACACTCTTGACTACAAAGAAACAATAAAATAGTATGGCCTTCTCTACTCTTCTCCCTCCTGACGCACCATGAGAAAGTCCTCAGACTCACACAGCAACCGCCGAGATGTAGAAAATTGCGCAAGACAAAATCTAGACGGAGGAAGCCGAGCCATGTCTAGAACGGGTCAAGAACCAATCGTCTCCAGAAATCCACCTTAATAACGTAACCCTCGCAATTAGCTCTCGACAAACAAGCAAGCCGAAACGGGCACGCTGCAAGCTTGAAGATGGGGGGGAAGCGGGACCAACCATACCTAGAACAACACCCATGGACGACATGCACAATTGGTCCACACTAATACTCATGTAAATAAATCACACAATCCAGACACAACTGGACCCTTGTCAGTAGAAGGTGCCGGCATCCCACAGCGCAGAACTCACCCCGAGAACGCGTTGGAGAGGCATCCCAACAACGACAACGAACGCGACGAGCAAGGGGGGAAGAAGGAGTAAACAAAATTTCGACACGAGTCATGGGCACCCACCTAAGCAAGTAAAGCTTGTCATGCTGTCTGCAAAACAAATTCGCATCCTGGACAGCTATTCCTTTCCATCTTCACCGTCAGTCCCACTTCTCCCCAACCTCGGTCACAATCCCATCACCTTCCCTCTCAACACAAAATCTCTCACTCTCTCACTCACTCTAAAACGCTCACTCTCTCAATCGCTCAACCCTCGCGAATCCGTCAGAATGCACACACCACCACCACTAAGCGTCGTCTGAAAAGCTCAAGGGGTTGTCACAGGCGGCGTGTCCTGGACCAGATAGAGAATTGCGGTGCGGTGCACAGTTAAAGAGCGCCGTCAACTAAAGATCAGTTTGCGAACACAGGAAACTCGATACACGCGGTGGATGATGGAGAGATATGTATGTATAAGTGTGTAAGAAAGTGTGAGATTCCTACATTTTCCCCCTCCTCCGCCTCGTATTTGATGACAGAAACTCTCTCTTCAAGTGGCACCAGCACGAGGCCCTTTGAATCCCACTAGCTGTCGCACCGTGGCCCCCCCCCCCTCCGCTTTCGAGGTGAGCGTCACGATACCCGGCGTCTGCAACCCGTCCTCACACGGGTCTTTTTTACGTGGCGGGTACAGCTACCGCCAGTTGTTCCCCGGAAAGGGACTTTTGCCGTTGGGAGCCGTTCCCGATTCGGATTTTTATTCTTATTTATTTTCATTACCGTTCAGGGTTCTTTTTCTAGAGGAATTGGGTCTGTTCTTGACTAAACCTATGTGTGGTCGAACTAAACTCAGCATTGTCGTGCCAAACTTGAGTTGAGGGGTTATCTTTGTTTTGAGTTGTTGGTTTCGGTCGCGGTTTGAGCAGCCTTGTTTTCGTTTCTCAATCGTGTTTGAGTGATTTATAGAAATCAGGGTTTGGGTTTTTCGTTATTGGTGCTTTTTGACTTGATGGATGTTTTTTTTAAGTGTGTGAGGTTGTGAATTCTTGTTTTTTTGACGAAAAAAATAAACTCACAATTGTACATTTTCAAGAAGTGTATATAGGTTTAACCTCTTGAAGTGTACACTTAACTAGGTATAGAATGTTCCTGTCCAGACACAATATTGAGAATGGTTTCCTTGTCTGAAGTTGTGTTAGTGAAGAAAATTTGGGCACAGAGCTTCATTCCAAGCTAATGACCCACAGAGTTTTCTATACAAAAACAGTGAATCATGTGTGGAGGCAGCCGCCTAATTTGTAACCAACCTGAAGCTTCTTTCTTTACTGGTGGGAAACATTCTCATGAGTTTATTATGATTATGCATTCATTCATTTGCTCATGTGTATGTGTGGGTGTGTGTCTCTCTGTCTGAACAAATATGTGCATATATATATATATATATTGGAAGGACAGCATCTTATGGAAGCAGCCACTTGGGTCAGTCTCCATCCACAAAAAGGGATGGAAGGTTTTTTCTTTGGCAACATTGGAAACATAGGTGGCAGTCAACTTCCATGAACAAGCTTTGCACTTGAATATGACAATATAATCATATCATGAAATTTCTTTTTTCCCTTGTCCAAATTATCAAGACAATTATTTAATTATGATGTAGATATGTAGGGTGAAGAAAGAGAGAGAGAGAGAGCTTGAGAAAAGTTTGCAAAATCCACCCAATTATAGCTTTGGTGCTTATTTCATGCATAAGCAGTATGGGCTTATTCCATGTGTGTTGAAGAGGAATGTTGAGACAATGTGATAGAAGATATTGTCTAATTGTGTTTTCCACAAGTTGCACAAAGTTTGAGAAGAACAAAAAAACAAAAAAAACATGTTTTCCACGTCCAAAACCCTGCATTCTGGTATCTTTGTGTTCCACTAGAGGAATAGAAATCTGTGCCATTGTGTGTTGTCTTCTATTGAAGCATTGTATCTCACACATTTCAAAGTCTCACAGTCAGCCCAATCAAGCAAATGCAGCAGCTTGGCATTATGGGTTGGAGGGTTATCTCCATATTAAGCCAACAAAATATCAGTGCCACATATCTATGAATGTTTTCACAAGCCACTTGCATGCAATTAGACATTGCTGGACTGTGTTTATCAACCCCACCAAAACCCAAAAATTCATCTTCCCACAACTTTTTTTGCATGTATTTTTCTTTTTCTTTTTCTTCTAGTCCTTGTCAAGATATGCTGCTGCTTAAGCACTAGGAAACATTAACCTCACTCTCACCCCAAAGAAGAAAGTAGAATCATAGATTCAGAAAGATCTTTAAAACCAACCATGCAGTCTATTTTCAGAAAGGTTTGTCCTAAGCCTTGTTTTTCTCAACCCCCAACATTGGTTTTAAAGTTCCAGTAAACCCAAACTCATTTTCTCAGCGAAGTGGAGACACTTGTTTTCTCACCTCCATCTAGTGTTGTTTAAAAAGTTTGAAAGTATGCTATTATATATATATATATATATATATTTATACAATTGAATACTGCAACAATTCGTCAAATACACGCATGGAATAGGATATGTGAATGATTTTATCTAGGAAAGCATGGCGAAGCACGGATTGGAAGGGAATAAAAAGGAACGTGTTGGGAAAAGGAACGTGTGTTGGGTATGGGCGAGAGGGAGGAAGAGCGGGGAGTGACTGGTCGCGGTGATGCTGAGGATATCAAGTTGATTGGGGAAGACGAATCAGAGGAGGAATCTGTTGGGGATGGATGGTTAGAACTCAACTTGCGGATGGGGCCCTGCGGAGGCTCAATGGCATGCTGCAGCCAGCCAGCCTTGGCAAAGCATCGAAGCGTCGGAGCCTTGGACTCTTCGATGCCTGCAACCCGCTTGAACTGTTCAAACCCCCGCTACCCCGCTACGCAACAAAACAGGCCATCGAAATGGATCCAACCTCCTATGCCTGCTTTCATGAGAGCGGGCGGGCGCCGCGACCTGGGGCTGCTTCATGTGCGTGTTCCACCCCAAAAGTTGCCGCTCAGACAGATTCCTCGAGTTTCTACATTATTTTAACCCAGGGGGTCCGGGAAATCACAACACCTATTACCCCTGCCTAAGCAGGTAGCGTCGGAATCCACTGCACCCATGAAGTGCCAGCAGTGCTATCGACCCGGCGCCATACACTTGGCAGCGTCAGTGTCGACGAGATTAAGTCTATTTTTACAGCAGCGAATTGTGGGTTCGAGTAATTATTGGCCTCAAGTGGTTGATCGACGACGAACAAGTCCAGGCATGGACGCTGAGAGGGCATATACTGATGCCTAGCATTGCACTTCTGCTGCTACTCCTACTACTTCTACTTCTGCTGCTACAGACAAAAGCGTAAGGAACGGTCACGAAATTTGGAATCTAGAGTGCCGCAACCAACCCTTCTCCTCCGATCGATCCCCCGCTTTCGCTCTCCACCCATTGATATTTGCTGGTGCAGAGCACATGGTGCGGCCCGATGCGTGCAGGCCCCTTCCTGGGAAACCAGATTTCTCCGCTGTGTATAAGAAAATTCTCCGCCGGCGACATGCGGTGGAGTCAAGTGACAGCGGCACCGAGTGGGCTCACGAAGTGGCCGGCGACTGATCGCAGGGGACAAAAACACATAGCCATGGCCCTGCTAGCCCATACTATTTCCAGTGTGAAGTCTAAGGGGAGAAGAATTAGTGTGGGTTGGTATTTTGCTCTACTTTCAATGGGCGTGGACCCTCTGCGCCTTCGTGGAAGCTGCGCCTGAGCCATGGCGGGCTGAGCTTTAGCTATGGCCACATGAGGCCCAAATCCCCAAAAATCTGAGATACGTTCAAATTCCGCAGCTTCCTGGATGCTGCTCATAAACAGATTCCTTCTTCACGTGCTCAGTAGTTGCGGCTCACTCAGGACCAAAATGAAAAGAGAATTTTGAAGTTTGGCACGGGTTTCAGTTGTGCAGGTTTTTGTGAGTAGTCTCTTGTTGCAGCATTCATGTGGTGTTTTCTTGGGATTGAATGGTTGTCTTATCATTTGTGACAAGAATATATATATATATATATATATATGATGTTGCATGTTAATTAGATCCATGCTTTTACTAAATTGACCCACTCATCCTAACCATCATGATAAAAAAATAAAAAAATGATCTCTAGATTCATTTCTTCACCACTGGATCCAAAATCAATGAAAACCAACCACATTCATAGTGATTACCATATTCTTCATCATAGATAGGTCAATTTAATAAAAACCTAGGTCTATTTAACATTCCCATATATATATATATATATATTTACATTTTAGGAAAACAACATGTTGATGGTTTTTCTTTTTTTTTTTTCTTTTTGAATTCTTTGTTCATGTATGGCTTCTAGTTTCATTCACATCCAACTTTGATTAATAGGTGGAATACTATATTAAATTGAAAGAAAGAATGAAAACTATACTACTTTTGTTTTAACTTCTTTTATTTTATTACAAAAGAAGAAGAGCTATTCTTCATATAAATATCACCAAATAGTTTTTTATTGAAGAAATATTATTACTATTATACTTTATTTATTAAAAAAATGTAGTGTGTGTGTGAGTGTGTTTTATTTATTTATTTATTAATATTTATTGACACAAGTAGAGTAAAAATTTACTACGTAGAAGATTAAAGTACTAAACATGATGACCAAGTTCGGCCTCACAACACACTACTACCAACACTAACTAAGGCTTCTTGTATTGCTTAGGTATGGCTAAGTTTAGTTGACTACAAGAAAAAAGCTATTGCATTGATTTGTTGACTTTTATAAATTTTCTCATATTCAACAAAGAAGTCCACACTTAGTCCTTTTCTCTTATGATCCGCCGCAATGTATTTAAACCTTTCTGTCATAGGTCATTGATATTAATTTGGCCATTGTAATTTTTTGCTTGATTGTTGTCCATCTCCCATTTGTTGCTTACCTTTTGGAACCCGCAAAAGAACATATTACTAAGACATGTGTGTTTGGGTGCTAATTTGTAGGCAATGTTGGATAAGTGTCTTTCTCTACTCTTTATTCCTTTTGTAATTTGGGAATGACATTGTCTTTTGAAGGCACATGTGCTTGCAAGGGAGCCAAATTCCTTGCTTGGGCTTTTATTTCTATTCTTTGATTTCTAAGTAAGGTTGGACATTCTTGAATAAGGTGGAATGTAGCAAGACAATACCTATACTGTATAGATAGGTTGTTATAGTGTATTTGAATATTATAAATAATTCTTGTGATGGAATTTTTTACTATAATAACGAGATTATAAGCTATCTCTACTATAAGTACCATATAAAATTTTGATTTTGATTATTTCTATTCTACTAGTGATGGCCTAGCATCAAGCTTGAACAAGTTGTAATATCCTAAGAACTATTCAAAAAAATTCCAAAATAGCTTTGAAGATAATCCAAGTTGGTATATTTATGCCAACTAGTTTGCTTGAGTTGAATCCTAGGATCCAAAGGTGTAAGATGCAAGTGCCCCATTTTGACAAATAAGATATCTATA